TTGCTGGGCACCAGCCACTGTCTCAGGCCGATGGGGAGGGAGCGAAAGGAGTGCGCCGCTGGTGGGTGGAAACGACCTGAGCGCTTATGGGAGGAAGGCTGCCCTGTCAGCAGAAGGAACAGCTCCAAGGGGTAGATCAGGCCGAGAGGGAGGGAGAGAGCAGCTGACACCCCCCCACGGTTCTGGGAGGGCTGAGGCTCTGGGCTCAGAGCAGACGGAGTGGACCTGAATTACACCTGGGGAGGGGAAGCCCTTGCTAGCCACGGACGCCAGCCCGCTTGCAGAGGAAAGGCTGGGCTTCCTGGGCAGGCGCCGCCGGGCAGCTCCTTCTCCCTTGCTTCCAGACTGCCCCGCTTGCGCGCCCCCCCCCCCAGCCCAGGGGTTGGCCTCTCTCCGCTCACTCTCTCACGGCTTCCTGCTGTGCAGAGGAGGCTCAGCCCGCGCCCTGTGCGTGCGCAAAGAGCCGTCCCAGGAGAAAACCCTCAGAGTGATGCGGTAAACAAGGCTGTGTGGGGCCTCTGGTGGCCGGGAGGCCTGTGAGAGATGCTGGCCGGCTGGGAGGGAGGGAGGGAGGCACCGAGAGTCTCCAAGGAGGCCCGGCTGAAGCAGCAGAAATGGGGTGGTGTGCCTGTGTGGGGAGGTGGTGCCAGCAACCTCTGGCTGCTCCGGAGAGGCTCTCTTGCCACCTGGCTGGGCGGCCCGCTTGCGTTGGCTTTCAAGGCCCCCTCCCCCAAACGGGGTGGTCACTTGCACCCCACCCAAAAGGGAGAGAAACGAGGGCCCTGCTTGGCATAGGCGGGTTTATATGAACAGATGCAAAATGAGGAATGGTTTTTAGGAGGCACGCAGAAGGATGATACATCTCACCTCTCTGGAGAAAGCTCAGCCCAAGTGCCCGCCCGAGTGCCACGGCAGGGGCCCCGTTCTCCCTCTTTCTCTTGAAATCGGACTCCGAGGAGGCACCCCCTGTCGGCCAGCCGGTTCCTCTTCGCAGCCAAGAGCCCTTCCACCAAGGAGGGTCCATCCGGCGGCCGCAAGGAGGGGGCAAGCGTTGGCCCAGCCAGTGGTGCCGAGGCAGAGGAGGCCCAATTGAGGGACATGGTTTGCAGGCCAGGAGGTGCTGGGCAGGGAGGGAGGGAGGGAGGGAGGGAGCTTGGCCGTGCCGGCTGGAGAAGGGGGAGAGGCAGGCAGGCAGGCTGGACAGCGGGCGGCTGCCGCACCAGAGATAAATTACTTCAAGCATCCATTAAGCAGTGCCTAATTAGCGTCCAATTAGGAGAGCCACGCAGGGTGTAAGTCGGACTGGCCTGTGCAAGGGGAAGTGTTAGGAAGGGGAGGCCCTGAGAGCCAGCCAGCCTGCCTGGCTGGGAAAGGCAAGGAATCTGGGGCCAAAAGAAGGGGGGGGAGGGACCCCTGCTTTGCCCGGCAAAGGTTCCAAGTGCAAGATCCCCCCCCTTTCCACCTAGTGCAGCGTTTCCAGATGCCTACTCTTCCTTCTGGACAACGGCTGCTAGAGCCGTCGGACCGCCTGGGCCTCTGGCTTGGTGGCATGGGACAGCCGCTGGTGGCAGGCGGTTTCTCTCTGCCAGTTGGAAGGGCCAAGAAACCAGTGTCTTCCAGAATCCCAGTTTGACCAATTATTCCTTTCTTTCTTGGAAAGCAAGCTTCTAGCCCTCGTGATGGCAGGAGTAAGTATTTGGAAAGCGTGGAAGTGGGGCTGCCCTCTGGCCACAGAGGAAATAGCGGGCGAGCAGCGAGAGCCTCTCCGCTTGCAGCCGGCTGCCCTACTTTGCTCCACGGGCTCTCTCTCGGCTTCACCACCATCTGCCATGGCGGCAGGAGCACGGGTGGTCTCAGCGGGGCAGAGGGAGGAAGAAGGAGAGAAGGGTGCGCTGGATGCCGGTGGGGAAGGAAGCCCGACGGGAGGTCTGGGCCTTGAGACGAGGATGGTGCCGACGCCGCCACGCCGAGGGGAGGATCTGTGCGCCTGACTGCGCTCTCGCTCTTCCCCACCAGGCGATGGAGATGGGAGATCGCTTTCCGTATCCACAGCTCGGCCCTGGAGGGCTTATAACAGCTCTTTGGGTCTGCGTGTGCCAGAGCCGAGAATGCCTAATGTGGAAGGACAACTCGGCTGGCTGGGAGGAGGCTGGGGATGGCGGGAAGGGGCTCCCTCCCTCCCTGGTTGGCCAGGGCAAGGGAGGAGGGAGACCAGGCAGCTGCTTGAAGGGGGGGGCTGTTTCGTTGCACTTTAGCCATCATCTGCCTTTTGACCCCAAGGATTTGGGATGGGGAGCTCTGGGGCACCCGGAGAGCGAGGCTGTGGTTCTCTTCCCTCTGCCACAAGAACATTGCTCCTCGTGGCCACCCGTGATAGCACCACCTGCAACATGGTGTAATGGCAAGAGGGGCGCCTTCCTAATGGCCAGATCTCTGGCGAATCCTGGGACTTGGCCTGTGGCAAGGAACGCTGCCCTGCCGTTTTTGCAAGAGCCTTGGAGTCCCCTGGCAGAGGGTCCCCCACCCCCACCTCAGACCAAAAACCACGCCTCATAGGCCCCCAGCAGGAGGCATCAGGGCAGGTAAACTGGGTGGCACAGAGAGAGAAAGGGTGCCCCTCCAGGACTCCCATCTGTCCTTCACGGAACAGCTGGAGGGGAGAAACGCTGGGATACGTAGTCCTGAGAATGCCTAGGAAGGCCGCCCTACACCGCCTGCCTGGGGCCTCAACATGCCGGCGGCACAGACGCTGTTGCCTGAGCAGAAGCAGGAAAGCGGGTCCGGGCCACGCTGGGCAACCCGTTGCCCCGTCTCCTGGGCTCCAGCCGAAGGAAGTGAGGAAGTCAGAGTCCCGTTCTCGCCCTCCCGGCCACTCGCCTCCGGCGGCTCCCACCACCCTTGGCGTATGCGGAGGGAGTCCCTGGGATGGTGCCCAAGCCAGGGTCCCGGATCATAAGGCAGGAAGGCTGGCCTTTCCGGCCATGCCTTGAGTCACCTGGATCTGCTCTGGGAAGGCTCCGGCTGCCCCCCCCCCGGCCTGGCACAAGGAGAGAGAGAGAGAGAGAGAGGCCATGGGCCACGAGGAGGAGGAGGAGAAACCACCACTCCTTTCCTTCTATTCCTCCCCCCACCCAGAACACCTGCCAGGCCCTCCTGGCTGCGCCTTTCCTCCAAAGCTTCCTCTCCCTCTCCTTAAGTGGATATTATTTTTAAATAAAAGGGGAGGGGGTCGGAGAGGGATTAAAAACCTGGCTGGCAATTAAGACAGCCGTGGCGCATCGTGAGCGGTTGGATGCTATAGCAACCTCTGTGCTTCTTGGCGAAGGGCAGGGCATTAATATTGCAGAGAATAAATAATAGATAACAGGGTTGCAGGGGAGGGGGCTCAGGCGGTTGGCTTCTGGCCTTGATCCCGTTCCCTGGCAATATTTGGGCAAAGAACGCCCCGGGGGGGGGGGAGAACAGAGGGCAGGAAGGAGGCTCCGCAGGGCTGGCGTGGGGCAAAAGGCCGGACAAGGAAGGCCATGTGTGTGCGTGTGCAGGGTGTGTGTCACAAAGTTTGGCCCCCAGAGGCTTCTGGCTCACCACACAAGGCTGACACTGTTTTCCCGCCCCTTCTCAGAGGATTAGGGGGCCTCCTGACCACCCGTGAACTCCCGGGCCACCGTGCGAAAGAGGCCCTTTGGGTTCTGTCTCATTGGAAGGCCCTGGTTGGGACAAGAGGACTGCTCCGCCCTGAACGAGCTCGTTGAGTGCTGATGTGGGGCGGGGGACCTGGGCAGCCCTGGCTGGAGGGCCAGCTGGACGCCAGGGGGCTGACGTGGATCCAGGAGGCTCTTCTGGGCCCGGCTGCCCCAGGGGGGAGCCCCCCCCCCGCACTGGCCGATGAGTGGGCTTTTCTCGTTCTGCCAAAATGCTTCCGGTTGGCCAAGCCTTCCCCCGACCCCAACTGCCTCTCTCTCTCAATCTCTCTCTCTCCCCCCCCTGCAGGAGCCTCCTCCTACCTGGCGGTCTTCCTCTTCTTCCTGGGGCTGGCGGTCGGCCCGTCCCGCGGCTGCCCCGTGGACTGCGTCTGCTACCCGTCGCCCATGACCGTCAGCTGCCAGTCCCACCACTTCCTGACCGTGCCGGAGGGGATCCCCCAAGACAGCGAGAGGGTCTTCCTGCAGAACAACCAGATCTCCCTGCTGCTGCGGGGCCACTTCAGCCCCTCGCTGGTCACCCTCTGGGTCTACTCCAACAACCTCACCTTCGTCGACCCCGGCGCCTTCAAGGGCTTCGTCCACCTGGAGGAGCTGGACCTGGGGGACAACGGCCACCTGCGGGAGCTGGCCCCCGAGACCTTCCGCGGCCTGGCCCGCCTCCACGCTTTGCACCTCTACAAGTGCGGCCTCAGCGCCCTGCCCGGCGGCCTCTTCCAGGGCCTCCACAGCCTCCAGTACCTCTACCTGCAGGACAACCACCTGGACTACCTGCCCGACGACCTCTTTGTGGACCTGGTCAACCTCAGCCACCTCTTCCTGCACGGCAACCGGCTGTGGAGCCTCCACCAGAACACCTTCCGGGGGCTGGTCAACCTGGACCGCCTGCTGCTCCACCAGAACCAGCTCCAGAGCGTCCACCGGCGGGCCTTCCACGACCTCCGCCGCCTCACCCTCCTCTTCCTCTTCAACAACAGCCTCTCGGAGCTGCCGGGCGAGTCCCTGGCCCACCTGGGCGCCCTGGAGTACCTCCGGCTCAACAGCAACCCGTGGGACTGCGACTGCCGCGCGCGCTCCCTCTGGGAATGGCTGCGCCGCTTCCGGGGCTCCAGCTCCAGCGTCGAGTGCCACTTCCCGGAGGCCCGCCGGGGCCGGAACCTGAAGGAGCTCCCGCCCGAGGACTTCCGGGCCTGCTCCGGCTCCGAGTCCCTCCACCAGATCAACGGGCCGCCTCGGTTCCGCCCGCCTGACCGGGTGCCCCCCAGAGACCACCCTCCCCTCCGCTCTTCCACGGAGAAGGGGAAGGATGGGCGGCGGGATCAGGGCACCCTGCCGGGCCAGCGCCCGGGCTACCGGAAGAACTGCACCAAGAGCCGCAACCGGACCACCAAGCCGGCCTCTCTGGGGCCCTGGAAGAACACGGGGGAGCAGGAGGAGGAGGAGGAGGAGGGGGCGGCGGCGGCGCCGGACTATAAGCAGAAGTCCCACCTCGGCCTGCTGCCTAAGCACAGGGGGAAGTGCCCCCGGGCCCCCCTCCCGCCCCCCAGTGGGGTTCAGCAGGGGACCCGGAACCGCGCGGGGCCCGTGCGGGCCGCTGACCTGATAGCCCGGCTGCTGGTGGCCCTGGTGGTCATCATCCGCTGACGGCGGTTCATGCGGAGGAGCCACGCTGAACTGCCCCCACCGGCGGCCTCTCCAGCCTCTGGCACTGGTTCTTATCTCTCTGCCTCTGGGATTGGGCTTTGCGGAAGCAGCCGCTCCGGAGGGGCCGTTCCATGGCCAGCCTGGGAATTACAAAAACCCTGGACTGCACGGAGCACCCGCTCGATGGCAGGATGGGGATGACAAGCAAGGCCCTGCCTCTTCGCCACTGACCAGCCTGACGGAGCACCTGAACAGAAACAAGCTGGGATT